TGCATAAAAAAGAATAAAATACCTAGAAACAAATTTAACCAAAATAGTGAAAGGCTTGTACCCTGAAAACTATAAAATAGTGATGAAAAAATTGAATAAATAAAAGATATTTTATGCTCAAAGGTTGTAAAATTATTATTGTTAAAATGTTATACTACCCAAGATAATATGCAGATTTGGTACAATCCCCCAGTGCCTGGCCAGTGGTTGAGCATCGACCCATGCAACCAGAGGTCACAGGTTCAATTCCCGGTCAGGGCACATGCCCAGATTGTGGGCCTGATCCCCAGTGAGGGGCACGCAGGAGACAGCCAGTCGATGTTCTCTTCCATCAATGTTTCTCTTTCTCTCTTTCTCTCCCCCTTTCTCTCTCTCTAAAATCAGTAAAGAAAAAAAATTTTAAATCCCACTGGCATATTTTACAGAAATGGAACAAACAGTTCTGAAATTTGTATGTAACCACAAAAGACCCCAAATAGCCAAAGCAATCTCGAGACAGAACAAAGCTGGAGCCATCATGGCCCTGGCCGAGTAGTAGCTCAGTTGGTTAGAACATTGTTCCAATAGGCCAAGATTTCAGATTTGATTCCTGGTCAGAACACATACAAGAATGCATAAATAAGTGGAACGACAAATCAATCTCTCTCTCTTCCCCTCTTTTCCTCCTTTCCTTTCTCTCTAAAATAAATTTTTTTTTTTTTGCAAACTATATTACAAAACTATAGTAATAATCAAAACAGTACAGTAATCGCATAAAAACAGACACATAGATCAGTGGAATAGAATAGAGAGCCCAGAAATAAACCCACACATATATGTTCGATTAATTTATGACAAAAGAACCAAGAGTATGCAGTGGGGAAAGTACAGTCTCTTCAATAACTGGACCATGGTCTTACACCATACAAAAATTCATTTAATGTACACCTGAAACTAATACAAAATAATATTAAATGTAAACTTTAATTGAAAAATAAAAATTTTTATTTTTATTTGTGTGTGTGTCGAGGGCTGATTTTCAATAGATCGCAGCGAGGGAGCTGCTCTGCTATGTACGATACCCCGAAAAAAAAATAAAAATTTTAAATGAACTCAAAATAGATTAAAGACTTGAAGACCTGAAATCATAAAACCCTTAGAAGAAAGCATTGGTGGTAAGGGTCTTAGCATTGATTTTTTGGATTTGACACCAAGAGCAAAGGCAACAAAAGCAAAAATCAACAAGTGGGACTACATGAAACAAAAGCTTCTGCACAGCAAAGGAAACCATCAAGGAATGATAGATATAATAAAATACTAGTACATTAAGATAAGTAGGATAGACTCAATTTATTGTAGTGGGGTATGACCTATCTGTTATTGTCAATAGGTTAAAATTTAGTCAACCTATTAGGGATAGAAAGAGTAAAGGATAATAGCTTTCAGTGTAGCTAGAGATGAGACAGTACAATGCTGATGTGTCGTAGATGAATAGTAAAAAAATAAAAATGCTCTTATATTCAAACCTTACCAGTAGTATCCATGTACAGATAATCTATTTTGAGCATGGTACCCTCCTAAGTATGTAGAGGACAAGACAAAACAGTCCATTATTTAAAAGTTAGATCACTTACTCTAAACGTACTTCCCATTATAATTATAATTTTATATTCCTCTTTAAAAAATATATGCATTTATTGATTTTTTTATTTTCTGTTAATTAATTTATTTTTGTTATAGATGTTTCTCCTTTTTCCCCTACTGATTTCTCCCTCCCCCTGTACCAAGCTTTGTTGTCCATGTCCATTGTTCATGCATATATGCATATAAGTTCTGTAGTTTATCTCTCCCCTGCCACCCCCTCTTCTGGGAATGGTCAGTCTGTACCCCACTTCCACGTCCCTGTTCTTCAAACTGTTATGTTCAATATAATCCACAGATAAGTAAGATCATATGATACTTGTCTTTCTGTTTGGCTTGTTTCACTTAGGATAATACTTTCCAGGTCCCTCCATGTGGTCTCAAAGGATAAGAGATCTTTCTTTCTTACAGCTGCAGAGTACTCCATTGTGTATATGTACCACTGCTTTTTTGCGCATTTGTCTACTGATGGACATTTGGGGTGTTTCCAGATCTTAGCTATCGTAAATAGTGCTGCTATGCACATGGGGGTACATATATTCTTTCTGATTGGTGTTTCAGGCTTCTTAGGGTATATTCCTAGAAGCGGGATCACTGGGTCAAATGGCAGTGCAATTTTTTATTTTTTGAGCTAACACCATATTGTTTTCCATAGTGGCTGTACCAGTCTGCATTCCCACCAGCAGTGTACTAGAGTCCCCTTTTCTCCACACCCTCGCCAACACTTGTTGTTTGATGATTTGTTGATGGCTGCCATTCTGACAGGTGTGAGGTGATACCTCATTGTGGTTTTAATTTGCATCTCTCTGATGATTAGTGATGTTGAGCATTTCTTCATATGTCTCTTAGCCATTTGTATGTCCTGTTTGGAGAGGTATCTGTTTAGTTCCTCTGCCCATTTTTTAATTGGGTTCTTTGTTTTCCTTTTGTTGAGTTGTATGAGCACTCTATATATTTTGGAAATTAACCCCTTATCTGATATATCATTGGCAATTATGCTCCCCCATACAGTGGGTTGCCTTTCCATTTTGATAATTATATCTTTTGCTGTGCAGAAGCTTTTGAGTTTGATGTAGTCCCATGTATTCATTTTCTCCTTTATTTCTGTTGCCTTAGGTGATGTGTCAGTGAAAATTCTGCTGCATATGATGTCAGAAATTTTGTTGCCTCCAGTTTCTTGTAGGATTTTTATGGATTCATAAGTGACATTTAAGTCTTTTATCCATGTTGAGTTTATTCTTGTGTATGGTGTAAGTTGATGGTCTGGTTTCATTTTTTTGCATGTAGCTGTCCAATTTTCCCAACACCATTTATTAAAGAGGCTGTCTTTACTCCACTGTATGCTCTTGCCACCTTTGTCAAATATTAATTGAGCATATTGCTTTGGGTCCATTTCTGGGTTCTCTCTTCTGTTCCACTGGCCTTTATGCCTGTTCTTGTGCCAGTACCAGGCTGTTTTGATTACAGTGGCTTTGTAGTATAACCTGAAATCTGGTAATGTGATCCCTCCAACTTTGTTCTTCTTCAAGATTTCTATGGCTATTCGAGGTCTTTTTTGGTTCCATATGAACTTTTGAAGTATTTGTTCTAGTTCTCTGAAGTATGCCGTTGGTATTTTGATGGAGATTGCATTGAATTTGTAGATTGCTTTGGGTAGTATGGACATTTTAATGATGTTAATTCTTCCAATCCATGAACAAGGTATGTGCTTCCACTTTTTTGTATCTTCCTCTGTTTCTTTTTTCAATGACCTGTAGTTTTCTGCAAATAGGTCCTTTATTTCTTTGGTTAAGTTTATTACTAGGTATCTTAATGTTTTTGACACAATGGTAAATGGAATTTTTTGTTTGTTTGTTTCTCTTTCTGTGAGTTCATCATTGGTGTATAAGAATGCCATCGATTTCTTAACTTAGTTTTGTATCATGCTACTTTGCCAAATTCATTTATTAAGTCTAGTAAATTTTTGATGGAGTCTTTGGGATTTTGTACATATTGTATCATGTCATCTGCAAATAATGACAGTTTTACTTCTTCCTTTCCCATTTGGATCCCTTTTATTTTTTCTTCCTGTCTGATTGCTGTGGCTAAGACTTCCACTACTATGTTAAATAAGAGTGGCGAAAGAGGGCATCCTTGTCTTGTTTCTGTTCTTAAGGGAAATGCTTTTAATTTTGCCCATTGAGTATGATGTTGGATGTAGGCCTTTCATGTATGGCCTTTATTATATCGATATATAATCCCTCTATTCCCAGATTGCTGAGCATTTTTATCAGAAAGGGGTGCTGGATTTTTGTTGAATGTTTTTTCAGCATCTATTGATATGATCATATGATTTTTATCTTTCATTTTGTTTATGCGGTGTATCACATTTATTGATTTGCGAATATTGCACCAGCTTTGTATCCCTGGGATGAATCCCACTTGGTCATCGTGAATAATTTTTTTGATGTATTGCTGGATTCTATTAGTTAGTATTTTGTTCTGGATGTTGGCATCTATGTTCATCAGGGATGTTGGTCTGCAGTTTTCTTTCTTTATAGTGTCTTTTTCTGGTTTTGGAATGAGAATTTTGCTGGCCTTATAAAACAAGTTTGGAAGTCTTCCTTCTTCTTGAATTCTTTGAAATCGTTTGAGGAGAATGGATATTAGTTCTTCTTTGAATGTTCGGTAAAATTCCCCCGTGAAGCCGTCTGGGCCTGGGCTTTTGTTTGCTCGGAGAGTCTTGATTACATCTTCAATTTCTTTTGTTGTTATTGGTCTGTTCACGTTTTCTATCTCTTCCCGTTTCAGTTTTGGGAGACTTTGTGTTTCTAGAAATTTGTCCATTTCACTTAGATTGTCGAATTTGTTGCCGTATAATTGTTCTTAATATGTGTTAACAATCCTTTGTATTTCTGTGGTGTCAGTTATTATTTCTCCTCTTTCATTTCTGATGTGTGTATTTGGGTTTTCTTTGTTTCTTGGTGAGTCTAGCTAAGGATCCATCAATCTTCTTTGTCTTTTCAAAGAACTAGTTGTTTATTTCATTGATCCTTTGAATTGTTTTTTGGTCTCCATGTCGTTTATTTCTGCTCTGATCTTTATTATTTCCTTCCTTGTACTTGCTCTGGGTTTTTTTTTCTGTTTGCTTTTTAATGTTTTTATTGATTTTTTTAGAGAGAGATGGAGAGGGAGAGAGAAATATCAATTCGCTAAGTCTTGCATGCACCCTACTTTGGCCAGTTCAGCCTGCAACCAGGGCACATGCCCTAACGAGAATCAAACCTGTGACCTCTTGGTAAATGGGACAGACGCTCTACCAACTGCGCCACACCAGCCAGGACTAACTTTAATATTCTTAAAAGCCAAAAGTTATGTTTTCTCTTTTTTTTTTTTAATAGATGCTGTAAGAGAAGTGAGGAAATATTCTTCTACTAGTGTCATTGAAAAGAGCTCACCCAGTAGACCCGGAGCTCATGAACATACCCAGATGAAACTTTTTAGGTCTCAAAGAAATCTTTACATTTCTGGATTTTCATTATTTTTTTGGCTGTAAGTAAAAAAAAAAAAAAAGAAGCACCCCCCCCACCCCCCCCACACACACAATTTAAAGTCCTAATTTATGTTTCTTATTTTTTAACCTACACTATAGATTTTTTTTCTATAATACTTAATATACTAACATCTTCATAAAAGAACTCAGACTATATACCCAAATAAATAACAAGCAATAGTTATGGTTTGTAGGTTTGAAAAGTTAGTAAGTCCTGCATGATCTGGCCCCTGCTTCTCTCTCAAGCCTTGTCTCATACTGTTCTCTGACATGTACATCACATTCCTCCCACACTGACCTCCACTGTTCATTCATTCATTCTTGCCATGAATATTTATTGGGTTTCTAGTAATGTACTAGCTCCTTCCTATATTAGGGTCTTCCTTCTGCCACTCTTCTCTTTCCTCTTTCCCTGGTTAACTTTTCATCCTTCATTCTCTTTCTAAGGGAAACCTTCTGTGACCAACACTCTCCCCAAAGTAAGTAGGTCTCCTCTTGCATACTCCCATAAAATGTATATATACTTTTCTTTCAAGTTTCATTCATAAGTGTAATACTGTTTTAGCTCTTGCTTCTCCAAGTAGAACCTAAATACTTTGAGAGCAGAGACTTTGTCTCATTTCTTGCTATGTCCGCATGGCCTGAAACAGCGCTTAAGACTTAGCAGCTCCTGAGGAAATGTCTCTTGAATGAATAATTGAAGATATTAGTTTCTACTTCTAAAAATTGAAGTTACCCATAAACATTTATGAATGAACAGTTTGGGAGCATCACCAGCCTCATATTATGTGCTTTAAATAGCAAGTTTTGAACTAGGAGGGGAAAAAAATAAAGACATCTCTTACTAGCCCTACCACACTGTCTGAAATTCTTTTTCTGCTCCTACTGGCTAGAGGCCTCTACAAAGAAAATAATTAAATTAGTAAGTACCATTGAACCTGTATTCCAGATGCTAGTCTTCTAACAAAGATTCTAAATGAATGAGAGACAGGTGTGTTTTGAATGGAAGACTTGGATTTATAAAAACAGGTGTTCTTTCTAACTAACCATCTCTCTCCACTACACCCATACCTAAGTGAGAGTTGTTTGATGGTTATTTATTGTAAAGTTTGTTTGTTTATTTCCTTAGAGTGTTGAGACGTCTGGTTACCCTTATTACTCAACTGGCAAAAGAACTGGCAAACAAAGGAGTACTTAAAACTCAAGCAGAAAATATTAACGAGGCTGCCAAAAAATTCATGAAAGAGAATGAAAAACTAAAACGGGTACGTAAATTTTTTTAAAAAAAATTTGTGTAAATGTTGTTAATATTCCCAAGGGGTGGTATGTTATTTTTCAGCATCAAAAAGAGCATTTACAGCTCTCGCTCAGTTGGTTGAGCATCAACCCCATGCACTGAGAAGTCACCAGTTCAATTCCAAGTCAAGGCACAGGCCCAGGTTGTGAGATGGATCACTAGCAGGGGGTGTGCAGGAGGCAGCCAATCTTTTTCTCTCTCTAATAGATGTTTCACTCTCTCCATCTCCCTTCTTTTCCCTCTAAAAAATCAATAAAAGCATTTTTTTTAAAAGGCCATTTGCTTGATTTATATGCCCAAAATGATCATAAATAGTAATATTGAACTAAGATTTAATACAAGCAGTCTGAGTGTAGAATCCACACTCTTAACCATGTTGTTTTGTCCCTTCCTTTGTATGTTAGCCTATAAAATGACTTGTAGATGGTGCCTGAGACCCTTTTGTGTTCTGATATTCAGTTAATTAAATACAATAACTATGAAAGATCAATTAACTTAATTGCTTTAAGTAACAACAGTGATGGAGCTTCTTTTTTTTTTTATCCTCAGCTGAGGACATTTTTCCATATTTTGTTCAGATAGAGTGGGAGAGAGAAACATCGACGTGAAAGGGACACATCGAGTGGCTGCCTCTAGCACGACCCAACCAGGGCCGGGGCCAAACTGCAACCAAGGTACGTGCCCTTAGAGGGAACCCAACCCGTGTCGCTCTGGACCTCAGGCCAGCGCTCTAACCACTGAGCAAAACCGGCCAGGGCGGAGCTTTACTTCTTACTAGTTTTTTTTCCAGCCACTTACTGCGATATGGGATAAGGTGTGGAGGACAACGAACACATGCGTTATTGTAACTGGTAGCTATTAAATTTCATATTTAACTTTCTCCAGCAAATTTATCAATAATAAACTTGGACAAGTTTTCAGGTGCAGTAATAAACGTTTATTTACAAAAGCAGCAAAAATCTAACTTTTCCAAGTAAGTGGCATAATAATTCAACCAGTCAGTGTAATAAACATTCCTGCAACTCAGTGGTTCCCTTCTAATTTGGGTAATCACTGCAAACTGTGTGCACTAAACTCAGTGAAGCAACAACTAGGATTGTTTTGGAATTTTGGCAAAAAATTCATAGAGATGTGAAGAAAAATTTTTGTTCTTGTTTTTTGCTCTTTAAATTTTCTCCTTTTTTTTTTTTAAAGGAAAGGGGGGAGAGAGAGAGAAACATCAGTGAGAGAGAAACATGGATCTGCTGCCTCCTGCACACCCCTACTGAGGATCCAGCCTGAAAGCCAGGCATGTACCCTGACCAGGAATTGAACCAGGACCTCTTAGTCCATGGGACAGTGCTTAATCCACTAGGCCACACTGGCCGGGCTGCTCTTTAAATTAAAAAAAAAAATTTTTTAATTTTGAAAGTATGTCTTCTTCAGTTTTAGTGTGTACTTCAGCTCCTATCTCCTAAAAAATTTTCTTGATGTTATATATTTCATTAGAGCTTTAATTCCTCTTGAGCTGCCTAATCTCTGCTATAACACAATAGTACTATATTTGATCTTGTGCTATAGTTTGTTTGCCCTTATCTCATCTTTTTCACCAGAGTGAAGTTACCTGACAGCAAAGATCATGTTTATTTTATGTTTTTATCCCTTATAACACCTACTGTAAAATATTTGCATGTAGTCAGTGCTCAATAGAATGTTTTGTTTGTTGAATGTACCAGCTTACTTCTATATCAGTCTGTTTAAAATTGTCCTGTGTTGCTTTTTCACCTGTGGAAGCTGTCAATATTAAGTTGCTGCACTTTAGTCAAATAACCCATGATAGTGTGTACATATTTTATTTTTCAAGCATTAATTTGCCTTTCTTGGTAACTTAAATTTCTTTATGACATTATCTTCTTAATTCTATTAACAATGATGGTTTCCATCCAAACATACAGGTCATGAAATTTTTACTATTCAGATTTTAATTTTTCTTGCCTAGAAAGGGTAAGCTAGAAACATAATATAAACATTTAAAAAGTCAGAATAGATTTTAAAATATGAAGAGCATTATAAAGGATTAACTGAAAAAAATTAATTGGGAGATTGGTCAATGAAAATTAGATAGAACTTTGCAAGCATAGATGGTCCTTTCATTTTCTACTTACCCACGTCCACCCTGACATTATATTATTCTCTTTCTTTTTATGTTTTTATTTATTTTTTAGACAGGAAGGGAGAGAGGGATAGAAACACCCATATGAGGGATCTATTGGCTGCCTCCTGCACACCCCCTACTGGGGATGGAGCCTGCAACCCCGGCATGTGCCCTGTCCAGGAATCAAACCTGGACCTTTCAGTCCATGGGAAAATGCTCAATCCACTGAGCTATACTGGCCTGGCAACATTATATTCTTCTCTTACAAATTCGCCTTTATAAAAGTAGTCCAAGTAGATAGCTATGCAACTGGAACATAATGATCATGCAGTTAATATCCTCAGTACTGGTTTTTTACTTAGTTTTGCATTACAAATTGATGAAAAGCTACACATATTATTTACCTACATACTTTTGAAAATTTGTAAGTGTTTGCCAAATATTGTTTCTGTTATCAAAACTGCATTGTAGAAAATTATAAAATAGTAAAAATACAAAGAATGGAATAAAGACTAATAATTTAAAATACATTTCTCAGGCTATTTCCTAGAAGAGTGTCTGGCTATTGCAAACTAAGCTCACTTTTCTATAACTCTCTTTCTGATAGCTCTTGAAAAGCTATAACAAGGAAGAGGAACATGTTTTGGAAGCAAAAAATAAAAAACTGGTAGAAGACCAAGAAAAACTGAAAACTGAATTAGAGAAGACTTCAGATGGTAACTTTGTGTGCATGTGTCAAAGTAGAAAGAGCATGATATTTTATGCTGTTTCACCTTACTGTTTTCCCTAAAACAAATCTAATGGCTAAAATAGGTCTGGCTAAAATACCACGAGCAACCTATTTATAAATTCCAGCTCAAATATGAAGATTAAACATTGTTTCAGCCAAGAGAAACATGCTGTGTTATACAGAAAAACATGTAGATGTTTCAGATTTGTGTTGTAAATACAGATGTTCCTACCTTAGCAAAAGAGCTATGTTCCTGAAAACTTGCTTATAAATACATTATTGGAAAATAAATCACATTCTTTCATCACAGTATATTGCTCCTTTGAAAAAAGTGATTGCAGTGGGACAGTTTTGGTTATAAGAAAGTATCTTGCTGCCCTGGCTGGGTGGTTCAGTTGGTTGGAGCATTGTCCCTTACACCAAAAGATTGCGGGTTCAAATCGAGTCAGGGTGTATACCCAGGTTGTGGATTTGATCCCAGTTGGAGCTCATACAAGAGGCAACTGATTGATGTTTTTCTCCCTCTTTTATCTCCCTCTCTCTCCCTCCCTCCCTCTTCCTCTCTTTCTAAAAATCAGTAAAAACATATCATCAGGTAAGGAGTTAAAAAATTTTTTAAAAAGAAAGTATAGCCCTGGAAAGTATTTCCATTCAAGGGCATGTACCTGGGTTGCAGGTTCAATCCCTGGTCCTGGTTGGGGCACATGTAGGAGGTGACCGATCGATATGTCTTTCTCTCACATCTATGTTTCTCTCTTTCCCTCCCACTCTCTGGACTGCATAAATATTTTTTTTTCATCCTCACCCGAGGACATTTTCTATTTTCTGTTCAGGTAGAGTGGGAGGGAGAGAGAGGAAGAGAGAGAGAGAGAAACATCGACGTGAAAGGGACACATTGAGTGGCTGCCACCCGCACAACCAACCAGGGCCGGGGGGAAACTGCAACCGAGGTACGTGCCCTTAGCAGGAACTGAACCCGGATCTCTCTGGACCGCAGGCCGACGCTCTAACCACTGAGAAAACCAGCCAGGGCTCCCTTCCTCTGTCAAAAAAAAAAAAAGGAAAAATATCCTCAATGAGGATCAACAAAAAAAGAAAGTATGTTGCTGATTTCAAGCCCTAATATTTCCTGTCTGCCAGATATAAGGAAAGCATTCCTTGAAAGAGATGGGTAGGGATAGAGTAAGAACAATCTGTATGTCAGCTGAGAATTTGAATGTCTCATTCCAAAATACATTGCAATGAGGACTTGGGTAAAGTATCCTAAGTTGACTTCCCTAAAGGCAGCTGTTTCTTCTACATATTTTTGTACACAGAAAAGTGGATACCCCAAGTCCAATGTCATCCCAGCAAACTCTGTGTAAGTTTGTGGCTTGATTCCAGTCAACATTTCTGCATAAAACAGATATTCCTTGATGTTGTCCAGATTCTGGGGAACCTCTCAGCCAATTCGAGTTAAAATAATGATCACTGCATAGACCTCCTCCAATTTTAAGTCTCTTCAATTACTTTAAGTTGGAGGTAAATTGGAAAATGTTCATTGACTGAATCAAGGACTAACTTTATGCCATTTGTAAATTTTGATTTTTTAAATAGGTTTCGGTATCATAGAAGTTCTCTGTGCTATAACTTGCAAATTGATTATGCCTTTACATCGTTTAGATAGAGTTTGAATATAAGATGGAAATTCTGCACAGCCAGTGTGGCTCAGTGGTTTGAGCATTGTCCCATGCACCAAAAGGTTGCTGGTTTGATTTCCAGTCAGGGCACATGTCCAGGTTGCAGGCTTGATCCCCAACATGGAGTGTGCAGGAGGCAACCAATTCATATTTCTTCCTCATCGGTGTTTCTATATCTCTTCCCCTCTTCCTCTCTCCTGGATCTAAACAATTTTTTTTAAATCAATAAAAATATGTTTTAAAAAAGATGGAAAATTTAAAGTCACAAGGTAATTCTGCAAAATAAAAAAAAAGCAAAAATCAATAGGATATTTCATACAGTACAAAAATTTTTAGTCAATTTTGTACTTATTTAAAGTGAGGGAAAATTGTTTACAGGCATTAGTTAAAAAATAAGTTACTCTTCTAGACAAGGTAGTATATTATGTGGTAGGTATAGTATAGCCTGGAATTCAAAATCTTGTCATAGTTGGTACTGTTGACTCTTCTGCAATTCCAAAAGATTTGGAACATGATAAAGAAGTTTTAGTATTTGTATAAAAATAAATTTAGTAATCACCTACCCTCTACATTAGACATTTCAGAAGAGAAACAGTGTTCTTTTTTACCCAACACAAAATATTGCTGCTAATCCTTCTGAAGAATGCAAAGGACTATTTTCAAAATATCTTTTATTAGTTTAAAAACTATTTCAAAATCTTGCTTTCTTTTTTCTCACATCTGCCAACAATCCTTTTTCTTATGTTGTTAGCAGAGTGGTACAAAGATGAAAGACATACAAGAATAGGTTGTGTGCCCTGCAACACCTTTCAAACCTGAGCTTTAAATTCACAAGCCTGAGATATAATTCTCTAAACTCAATATTATTTTAGATGAATATAAATGCAGTATTTCTTTAACAGATAATTCAGATGCTTGGAGAAAATGAACTCTTTGATAATATAGGCATTGTGTTTATAATCTGATGACAAGACATGCCAGCTTCTGTGTTTGAAGTATAGACTGCAAAGCTACTTTCAAAGTGAATCAGTGTTTAGGTAAAGCAGATTTTACCTGTTTGAGTATGTCCTGTTTGCTTCCTGCAAGGTGTGTAGTATTTTATGAATACATTTTATTTACCCAGAGTTATTATTTTAGGTAACATTATTAATGACCTTGAGAAGATCTAAGTTTCATTTCATACTTCTTAGCTATGTTCTCTTGATCTACACCAGTCAAATTTATTAAGGCAAGAACTAAGAAATTACATAAACAAATAGTACGAGATTTGGGTGAATTTTGCAGCACCATGCTTTGGATGTAACACCATTTAAAAATCTTCACTGATTTCTGAAGATTGAGGGTATTAAGGCTGACAATGCTTAAGAAATGTTTCAGAAAGTTCTTTTATACTTGAAAATTGATTAGCAAAGCAGTGTGGTTTATTTTGTAATAGGGATAAATAGAGTATTTTCTATATGATTTGCCTTAAGCCTTTGGTGTTTCTTTTTCTTTCTTCTTTTATTACTTTTTTATAGATGTGCTCCCCCCCGCCCCCCATTAACACCCTCCACCCTGCTCCCATCCCTCTACCCTTGGTGTTTCTTTAATATAAGGGAAACATTTTCTCCAAAGTGTATTAGTGGAAATAAAGCACAAATACAAATGTTTATTTAAATTGCTCAGCCCCAGAATGGAAAACTGGCATTCTGAAAGCAGGTATTAAGAACACTCTGTCAGTAGTACCAATTCAAATTTTGCCCAGAGTTAGTAAATTACTTGTGCTTCAGTGCAATAATATGACTCTACTGATCCAAAAGGGTGGGCATGTCCCAGAACACTTAATTTATACTCAGGACTAAGTCAGGTGTAAGAACCTGCCTGATGTATCATTTTTAATGACTTGTTTAACAATAAATCTGATGTCCTAGTGTGTGGAGTAATTGGGAAAGGGAACTACCATACAAAATGAGAATTTAAGCTTTGGAGAATTTACAAAGCTCACAACCTTTGATAATAAAACTAGATCTTCTGTGTAGTGGAAAACCTTCTGAAGTTCAAGGAGATTGACATTAAAGGAGCCTTTCAGGATAGCTACTGTATTTATTATAAATAAATACCTCCTCGGTATTATTCTTATTACGGGAGGAAATATATACCATTTAATCATTGCATGTATCCAAGAAGTGGTAAAGGTAAATATGATTTTAAAACTGATTGTACTGAATGGGGAAATGTCTCATCCTCGTTTCTTTAGGAATATATCCATAACATGCTACATTAACAGAGTTAGTTCTAGGGCTGACATTTTAATAGAAGTTGAGTAATAGTATTTTCTCCTACAAAAAGGGAAAAGAAAAAGACAAAAAAGTGATTAGGGCAAATTCCTTGACACTGTCTTTCTTCTTTCTCTCTTCCTTACTTCATACCATCCTCCTCATCCCTTTCTTTTTTTAAATTAATTTATTTATTTTGTTACAGATGTTTCTCCTTTTTCCTCCACGGATTTATCTCTCTCCTTCCCTCCCAAGCTTTGTCGTCCATGTCCATTGTTCATGCATACATGCATATAAGTTCTGTGGTTTATCTCTCCCCCACTACCCCCTCTTCTGGAGATTGTCAGTCTGTACCCAACTTCCACGTCTCTGGGACTACCTCATATTATGTTCATTATAATCCACAGATAAGTGAAATCATATGATCCTTGTCTTTCTCTGTTTGGCTTGATTCACTTAGGATAATACTTTCCAGGTGCCTCCATGTAGTCTCAAAGGATAAGAGATCTTTCTTTCTTACAGCTGCATAGTACTCCATTGTGTGTATGTACCACTGCTTTTTTATCCATTTGTCTACTGATGGACACTTGGGCTGTTTCCGGATCTTAGCTATTGTAAATAGTGCTGCTACAAACATGGGGGTACATATATTCTTCCTGATTGGTGTTTCAGGCTTCTTAGAGTATATTCCTAGAAGTGGGATCACTGGGTCAAATGGCAGTGCAATTTTTTATTTTTTGAGCTAACACCATATTGTTTTCCATAGTGGCTGTACCAGTCTGCATTCCCACCAGGAGTGTACTAGAGTCCCCTTTTCTCCACACCCTCGCCAACACTTGTTGTTTGATGATTTGTTGATGGCTGCCATTCTGACAGGTGTGAGGTGATACCTCATTGTTGTTTTAATTGGCATCTCTCTGATGATTAGTGATGTTGAGCATTTCTTCATATGTCTCTTAGCCATTTGTATGTCCTGTTTGGAGAGGTGTCTGTTTAGTTCCTCTGCCCATTTTTTGTTGTTGTTGTTGTTATCCTCACCCGAGGACATTTTTCCATTTTTTGTTCAGGTAGAGTGGGAGGGAGAGAGAGGAACAGAGAGAGAGAGAAACATCGATGTGAAAGGAATACATCGAGTGGCTGCCACCCATACAACCGATCAGGGCCGGGGACAAACTGCAACCGAGGTACGCGCCCTTAGCGGGAACCGAACCCGGGTCTCTCAGGACCGCAGGCCGGCACTCTAACCGCTGAGCCAAACCAGCCAGGGCCCTCTACCCATTTTTTAATTGGGTTCTTTGTTTTCCTTTTGTTGAGTTGTATGAGCACTCTATATATTTTGGAAATTAACCCCTTGTCTGATATATCATTGGCAATTATGCTCCCCCATCCAGTGGGTTGCCTTTCCATTTTGATAATTATATCTTTTGCTGTGCAGAAGCTTTTGAGTTTGATGTAGTCCCATGTATTCATTTTCTCCTTTATTTCTGTTGCCTTAGGTGATGTGTCAGTGAAAATTCTGCTGCATATGATGTCTGAAATTTTTTTGCCTCCAGTTTCTTCTAGGATTTTTATGGATTCATGAGTCACAGTTAAGTCCTTTATCCATGTTGAGTTTATTCTTGTGTATGGTGTAAGTTGATGGTCTGGTTTCATTTTTTTGCATGTAGCTGTCCAATTTTCCCAACACCATTTATTAAAGAGGCTGTCTTTACTCCACTGTATGCTCTTGCCACCTTTGTCAAATATTAATTGAGCATATTGCCTTGGGTCCATTTCTGGGTTCTCTCTTCTGTTCCACTGGTCTATATGCCTGTTCTTGTGCCAGTACCAGGCTGTTTTGATTACAGTGGCTTTGTAGTATAACCTGAAATCTGGTAATGTGATCCCTTCAACTTTGTTCTTCTTCAAGATTTCTATGGCCATACGAGGTCTTTTTTGGTTCCATATGAACTTTTGAAGTATTTGTTCTAGTTCTCTGAAGTATGCTGTTGGTATTTTGATGGAGATTGCATTTAATCTGTAGATTGCTTTGGGTAGTATGGACATTTTAATGATGTTAATTCTTCCAATCCATGAACAAGGTATGTGCTTCCACTTTTTTGTATCTTCCTCTGTTTCTTTTTTCAGTGACCTGTAGTTTTCTGCAAATAGGTCCTTTATTTCTTTGGTTAAGTTTATTACTAGGTATCTTAATGTTTTTGACACAATGGTAAATGGAATTTTTTGTTTGTTTGTTTCTCTTTCTGTGAGTTCCTCATTGGTGTGTAAGAATACCATCGATTTCTTGACGTTAGTTTTGTATCATGCTACTTTGCCAAATTCATTTATTAAGTCTAGTAATTTTTGATGGAGTCTTTGGGATTTTGTACGTATAATATCATGTCATCTGCAAATAATGACAGTTTCACTTCCTGCTTTCCAATTTGGATCCCTTTTATTTTTTCTTCCTGTCTGATTGCTGTGGCTAAGACTTCCAGTACAATGTTAAATAAGAGTGGTGAAAGTGGGAATCCTCATCTTGTTTCTGTTCTTAAGGGAAATGCTTTTAATTTTTGCCCATTGAGTATGATGTTGGATGTAGGTCTTTCATATATGACCTTTATTATGTCGAGATATGATCCCTCTATTCCCAGATTGCTGAGCATTTTTATAAGAAATGGGTGCTGGATTTTGTCAAATGTTTTTTCAGTGTCTATTGATATGATCATATGATTTTTATCTTTCATTTTGTTTATGTGGTATATCACATTTATTGATTTGTGAATATTGTACCAGCTTTGCATTCCTGGGATGAATCCCAGTTGGTCATCGTGAATAATTTTTTGATGTATTTCTGGATTCTATTAGTATTTTATTCTGGATGTTGGCATCTATGTTCATCAGGGATGTTGGTCTGCAGTTTTCTTTCTTTATAGTGTCTTTTTCTGGTTTTGGAATGAGAATTATGCTGGCCTCATAAAACGAGTTTGGAAGTCTTCCTTCTTCTTAAATTCTTTGAAATAGTTTGAGGAGAATGGATATTAGTTCTTCTTTGAATGTTCGGTAAAATTCCCCCGTGAAGCCGTCTGGGCCTGGGCTTTTGTTTGCTCAGAGAGTCTTGATTACATCTTCAATTTCTTTTGTTGTTATTGGTCTGTTCACGTTTTCTATCTCTTCCCGTTTCAGTTTTGGGAGACTTTGTGTTTCTAGAAATTTGTCCATTTCACTTAGATTGTCGAATTTGTTGCCATATAATTGTTCTTAATATGTGTTAACAATCCTTTGTATTTCTGTGGTGTCAGTTATTATTTCTCCTCTTTCATTTCTGATGTGTGTATTTGGGTTTTCTTTGTTTCTTGGTGAGTCTAGCTAAGGATCCATCAATCTTCTTTGTCTTTTCAAAGAACCAGCTGTTTATTTCATTGATCCTTTGAATTGTTTTTTGGTCTCCATGTCATTTATTTCTGCTCCGATCTTTACTATTTTTTTCCTTGTACTTGCTCTGAGGTTTTCTTTTTGTTTGCTTTCTAGTTCTTAAGTTGTGAGGTTAGATTGTCTATTAGAAATTTTTCTTGCTTCTTGATGTAGGCCTGTAGTGCTATGAACTTCCCTCTCAGAACTGCTTTCGCTGATTCCCATAGATTTTGTTGTTGTGTGTTCATTTTCATTGGTTTTCAGGAAGTTTTTAATTTCTTCCTTGATTTCCATTCATTGTTCAATAACATGTTTTTTAGCCTCCGTGTTTTCAAATGTCTTTGCATGTTCTTGTTGCAATTAATTTCTAGTTTCATGCCATTGTGAAATTAGATGCTTGATATGATTTCAATCTTCTTGAACTTGTAGACACTTAGTTTCTGACCTAACATGTGGTCTGTCTTTGAGAATGTCCCATGTGTACTTGAGAAGAATGTGAATTTTCTTGTTTTGGGGTGTAATTCTCTGTAGATATCTATTAAATCTATTTTATCTAGCGCTTTATTTAGATTCTGTGTTTTTTGGTAATTTTTTGTCTACAAGATCTATCCAGTGATGTCAAATATTGAAGTCCACTGCTATGATTGTATTGCTGTTGATTTTTCCTTTGAAATACTCCAGAAGATTTTTAATATATGTTGGTGCCTCCTATATTGGTGCATATATGTTTACCATGGTTATATCTTCCTGTTGGATAAATCCTTTCAATATTATGTAGGCCTTTTTTCTAGTTATGGCCTTCATAATGAAATCTACTTTATCAGATATGAGTATTGCATACCCCAGCTTTTTTTTCCTTTCTGTTCGCTTGAAAGATTTTTTCCATCCTTTCACTTTCAACTTATGTGAGTCTTTTGTTGTGAGGTGGGTCTCTTGTAAATAACATATAGGAGTCATGCTTTCTTATCCAGTCAGCTAGTCTGTGTCTTTTTATCGGAGCATTCAAACCATTCACATTTAAGGTGATAATTGATATGTACTTATTTATTGCCATTTTTGTTTAGTGTGGTTCTATTTTTCTTCCTATTTCTTCTAATTACAGCAGTCCTTTTAGCATATCTTGTAGTGCTGGTTTGGTGTTAATATATTCCCTTAACCTTTTTTTGTCTGGAGAGCTCTTTATTTGACCTTCTATTTTGCATGCTAGCCTTGCTGGATACAGTAATCTTGCATTCAGATCCTTGTTTTTCATGACCTTGATTACTTCATGCCACTCCCTTCTGGCCTATAGTGTTTCTGTTGAGAAGTCAGCTGCAAGTTTTGTGGGGTTTCCTTTGTAGGTAACCTGTTGCTTAGCTCTTGCTGCCTTTGGGATTCTCTCTTTGTCTTTAATTTTTGGCATTTTAATTACTATGTGTCTTGATGTGGGCCTGTTTGGTTTATTCTTACCTGGGGCTCCCTGTGCTTCTTGATCTTGAATGCCTTGTTCCTTCACCATATTAGGGAAGTTTTCTGTCACTATTTCTTCAAATATATTCTTTAACCCTTGCCCATTTTCTTCCTCTTTGGGGACTCCTATGATGCGAATGTTATTTTGTCCCACAGTTCTCTTAAGCTGTCTTCCTGTTTTTTAATTGTTTTTCCTTTTGGTTTTCTGATTGGTTGTTTTTTTTCTTCC